CTTTTCTGTTTATGCCTATCTTTGGGCACATCCCTAAATGTGTTGTGTTTATTTTTTGTTTTAAAGAAGGTCTGCAAGTTGTGTGTTGCTGACGCTGTATATTATAACGGGGTTACAGACATACTATAACATTACTAAAAACACAAAGAAAAGTATTGCTACAATTGGATTGAAGGCCAGCGCTTTTGAACTTCAGCAACAGTGAAGTTGACTTAGTATAGTTATACCGTCCATGTTCATTTAAAGTATGCATTAAATTTCTATTACACATGCCAACTACCCAGAATTTGGAGGATCAGTCCCCATTATGGACCATGTTCTGTTGACCCTTGCCTTGCGTTCTGTCTCTAGAATTTTGCATTCAGCTACTCAAGAAAATCATTCCTACATTAAACATGCTTGCAAGGCTGTTACAAGGTATTTATTTTAATAAGTACTTTAGCATTCCTCTGCATATGGCCTGCCATGGCTGGGGGCCTTCAAGGGTTGTTTGTCATCTTGGAGCACGTTCACACCATAAATACATTCCCAAGTTCCAGCACTGCCACTTTCCAAGCTGACCCTGTACCATTCTCATCCTGCCTTCAGTGTCAGAAAAATTGTCAAGTATGTAACATACCAGGATGACCAGATCCACCATGTTTTCAGGGACACATATACATATTGATGCGCAGCAGTTGAAAAGGGTAGCCCTGTAGTATGTAGAATTCAGAGGAAGGTGTATTAGATCAAGTAATTAAGCAATGAAGAATCCTGCAGAATATGCATGGTCATAGGCGTAACTAGAAACCATGGGGCCCTGGTGCGAAAATTGCCCCATACAGCCCTTCCCCTCCCCCCTCAGTCCCTCCATGTGTCACATTTACTCCCCTCAAACCCTCTATGAGTCACATTCACGCCCCACAAGGTGAGTGTGGCATGGTTGGGGGGATGAGTATGACCGAATTGGAGGGGGTTAATGGGAGGGTGAGTGTGAGTGTGGCAGGGTGATGGAGAATAAGTGTAACAGGATTGGGGGGTGCGGCATAGGGTAAATATAGCAGAGCGAGAGGTGGTGAGTACGGCATGGGTGAGTGACAGGATTGGGGGAGTTATTGTGAGTGAAGCGGATGACAGTGTGTGTGGTGGGGGTGACAGTTACACAGACACACAGTGCATACACTGACACACATGCTGATACACACACATACAGATACGGACACACAGATACACACTGACACACATGTAAATACACACACAAACTAACATACAGATACACAGACACATTTATACAATCATACACACATGCAGATACACAGACACACAGAATTAAACACATTCACACGCAGATACACACACATGAGATACACAGAATGACACTCCTACAGATACAAACACTGACACACATACAGCTACACAGTGACACACATGCAGACACACTGATACACATATACACAAACATGCAAATACACAGACACTTAAGGACAAACATTCAGATACACAGAATGATACTCATACAGATACAAACAGTGACACACATACAGAATGCTTGGTTGTATAGGGAGAGGTATTAGCAGTAGAAAGAGGGAAGTGCTCATGCCATTGTACAGAACACTGGTGAGACCTCACTTGGAGTATTGTACACAGTACTGGAGACCGTATCTTCAGAAGGATATTGATACCTTAGAGAGGGTTCAGAGAAGGGCTACTAAACTGGTTCATGGATTGCGGGATAAAACTTACCAGGAAAGGTTAAAGGATCTTAACATGTATAGCTTGGAGGAAAGACGAGACAGGGGGGATATGATAGAAACATTTAAATATATAAAGGGAATCAACACAGTAAAGGAGGAGACTATATTTAAAAGAAGAAAAACTACTACAACAAGAGGACATAGTCTTAAATTAGAGGGACAAAGGTTTAAAAATAATATCAGGAAGTATTACTTTACTGAGAGGGTAGTGGATGCATGGAATAGCCTTCCAGCTGAAGTGGTAGAGGTTAACACAGTAAAGGAGTTTAAGCATGCGTGGGATAGGCATAAGGCTATCCTAACTATAAGATAAGACTAGGGACTAATGAAAGTATTTAGAAAATTGGGCAGACTAGATGGGCCGAATGGTTCTTATCTGCCGTCACATTCTATGTTTCTATGTTTCTATGTTTCTATACATAGGGCACACACTAACATATGCATACGCAGACATACAGACACACATGCCAACATACAGACATACACATACATACATATATACAGAAACACACACACATAGAGACACACATACAAACAGACACACATACACTCATACACACAAACACACACACATGCATACACACACATGCATGCAAAACAGTTTAGTCACCCTCCTGTTTCCTACCTATTAGGTGCAGGAGGATGACTTCCCTGGGGTCCGGGCTGACGGGATTTAGCGTTTTTATGTAGCATGTTAATTATTTATTAATCATATCATCCGGCGTCTAAAAGGGGCACTCACATGTGGTCTGTAATTACTAATTTAATTATGGATCATGTCGGATATTCCGCTCTCATAAGTAAGGTTGTGAGTTGCTCATTTTATTTTCATAGATTTATTATTTTTATTAGTTTTACCTATTCCCTTTCTAACTCTGCTAATTATGTACAATGTCTCACTTTTCAACTGTATGTGGTATAATAGATTATTTCATATTGTTAAATATGAATAATTATTTTCATCTTTTTGAGATTAAATCTAAATCAATTAAACATTGTAAGCATTTTTTTCATGTGAGCTGGTAGCCTTCTTGTACAATTGGAAAAAAATCTTCAACTTAACATTTTTTTATGTAGTCCTCTGCTTAGCACATAGTTTAGTAAGTAGCAATATAAAGTTAATATTTAATGACTCTAGCGGTGTTTTCTAAACCAGTCCTCAACAGGGCCGGACTGGGAATTAAAAGCAGCCCTGGAAAAAAAATATTTACCAGCCCCATAATGCGTCACGCCAGCATAGTGTGCAGATACAGAGTTAGAACAGATAACTTAAAATTAAAAAGTACTTCAACATAAAAAGCGCACTCATAGGCTTCAAAATAAACAAAAGAGCAGATTTATTTTAAGCAGACGTGCCTTTGCATGTAATCAATGTTTCAGTCCAACCACCTTGACATATTAAGGAAAGCTTGTTAATGGGACTGAAATGGTGAATGTATGTAGGGCACAACTGTAAAAATTTTTATTTTGAAGTCCTGTGGGTGTGCTCTTCACTTTAAATATGTTATTGTGCTGGAGTATGCACCTAGCAACAAGACTGGGTCAATATCTGCTCATTACATATGGTACATATTAATGAAATTTCTCTGTGTATTATGCATATATAAATGTACATTAATATGTGTAAATATAATATATATATATATATATATATATATATATCTAATATACACATTAATATACATGTCATATACCAGTGACGGATCCAGAGCCTGAGCCCGGGAGGGGCACTTGTAGATTATTTAAAGAAATATTCCATGCACAATAACCACTACTCCTCTGTGTAGTGGTTATGGTGCCAGGAGTGTCGGCACCCCCTCCCAGAGTAAGTAGTCAAACCGTTTAAGAACAGTTTGACAACTTACCTGGAGTCTGCTGGGATATGGGGCTGTAGTAGGGTATAGGAGCAGTGGTGCAATGTGTGAGGGGTGCAATGTGTGTGAAAGGTTCAGTGTGTGGGGGGCAGTGTGTGAATGTGTGTGTGTGTGGGCAGTGTGTGTATGGGGCTAGAGTTCAATCCTACTACTGCGACCACCAGGAAGTGGTGAGAGTGAACTCTAGCCCGTAGCTCCAGGGCTAGAGTTCACCTCGTGAGAGCCGGAGCGTTGCCCCGGGTCCTCTCTCTCTCCCCCTCTGCTCCTCTATGTCAATGTCTCCCCTCTCCTTCCCAGTCTCTCTCTTCCACCTCTGCCTCTTTCTTCCCCTCCCCTTGTGTGTCTCTCTCATGTCTCCCTCTTTGTGTCTCTCTTCCCCCTCTGCCTCTTTCACCCAATTTCCCCTATGTCTTTCCCTCCTCCCCATCTCTCTCCCTCCCCCCTTTCCCTGTGTCTCTCCCTCCAACCCATCTCCCCCTTTCCCTGTGTCTCTCCCCTTTCCCCATCCCTCTCTCCCTCCAACCCATCTCTCCCCCCCCTTTC